AGCGGCCTCCGTGGCCTCGGCACTCGGCCCGGCCTCTACGGCTGGAGCCCTATAGCCCCCCCAAAAATTCCTTGGGGGAAATTTCGGGTTCTGAGGCCTTCCGTGGGCCTGACTCGGGAACAGGAGCCCTCTCTGGGCTGGACGTGGGAACAGGAGCCCTCTCTCGGCTTAACTTGGGAACAGGAGCCCTCTCTGTGCTGGATGTGGGAACAGGCTTACACGGGACGGAAGGCCTCCAGGGCAGTACCCATTCCGGGACCCATGGCGGATCAGGCAGCTCGGGGAGCCATGGCGGAGCGGCCTCCGTGGCCTCGGCACTCGGCCCGGCCTCTATGGCCGGAGCCCTATAGCCCCCCAAAAATTCCTTGGGGGAAATTTCGGGTTCTGAGGCCTTCCGTGGGCCTGACTTGGGAACAGGGGCCCTTCTCTGGGCAGGACTTGGGAACAGGAGCCCTCTCTGGGCTTAACGTGGGAACAGGAGCCCTCTCCGGGCCCAACTTGGGAACAGGAGCTCTCTCTGGGCTGGACGTGGGAACAGGAGCCCTCTCTCTGGGCTGGATGTGGGAACAGGAGCCCTGCCCTCTCCGGGCCCAACTTGGGAACAGGAGCTCTCTCTGGGCTGGACGTGGGAACAGGAGCCCTCTCTGGGCTGGATGTGGGAACAGGAGCCCTGCCCTCTCCGGGCCCAACTTGGGAACAGGAGCTCTCTCTGGGCTGGACGTGGGAACAGGAGCTGGAGCCGACAGTCTTTTTCTCCTCATATTCCTCCTTTGATTTGGGGTTAAGGAGCAGGCTGCTGTCAGCTGAGAGCTTGGGAGGGAATCGGCCAGCGGACTTGACTTCGGACAGCGGGCTGGTTCTGAATCGGGGCCGGACACTCTCCAGACTCTCCCAGACGGCGGGGCGATGGTAGTTGGCCCCAATCCAGAACAGAGAATTCAGAGTTGCGTCATCTAACGCCGTCATAATGGCGAGCCCACAGAATTCCCTGGCGTACTCCACAAAGGGAAGATCCCTGCGGGCTAGGGCGGCGAATCTCGCGGCGGTTTCCATGACCGCGGGGGGAAAACAGAAAACAAAACTTTCAAAGAAGGTAACCAAAACGGGGAGAAGGGGCGCCACTTGCGGTATGTAGGTCCGGTATTCTGTCACGATCTGCTGCTACTGTGAAGGAGTGAGGAGACGTAGGGGAATTCGTGAAGAAAGTCTTTATTTATCCAAAGGAATGCACACGTAGCACAGGGGATTGACGAACAATACCGGACAAAGGAATTCAGGGAGACAAGACTTAAATACGAGGAACTCAATGAGACACAGCTGAATGAAATGAACACACTAGGAACAGGAACTGGAACATAACCAAATATGGGCACAGTCACACACAAGGGAAAACTAGGTCACGGAGCACATGGGAAGCAAAACAAACAGACAGACTGTCCAGGGGTGTGACAATATGTATGTGTACTGTGTATATTTATTATGTACTGTATATATAAATACACACACACGCATGTATATATTTCAGAAAAATATGTTATTTTTATATATTAAATATATTTATTTAGAATATAAATTATATGAATGTAAATCTTACCAGCAAACATACTCGTTTTCATCCTTCTCTCCACTATCTGAGGCCGAAAGTCTGCAAACTCATCCTTTCTAATCATCCTACTACTTGTCCGCTTGATCCTATTCCATCTCATCTCCTTCAAGCCTTTTCTCCTGCTGTTTTTCTATTCTATCTACTTGTTTTTGTGTGTGTGTGTGTGTGTGTGTATATATATATTCTGATATAAGTACTGCGTTAGGCTAACCGAGATTTGTCATTTGCACTTACATATTGTTGCTCTTTTGTTAGTTTTGATTGCTTCTATTGTCCTCATTTGTAAGTCGCTTTGGATAGAAGCATCTGCTAAATGACTAAATTTAAATGTAAATATAGACATGTAAATATTTTCAAAATATATACTGTATGTGTGTGTATTAATATTTACATAATAAATATACACAGAACACACACATAAAACAAACAAAAACTTTTATTTTGGATGCAATTAATCGCGATTAATCATTTGACAGCACTAATATATATATATATATATATATATATATAAGTTGAGTCCATATATACAATTTTTATTATTTTAGCTGCTGACCAAAACATATTCAAGTTGCAGTTATATAATGAATATGGGCTTAAATTGCACACTCAGCTTTAATTTGAGAGTATTCACATCAACATTTGAAGAAAGGTTGAGGAATTACAGCTCTTTAATATGTACCTCCCCCCTTTTTCAAGGGACCATAAGTTTCATGGACGTGGGCTATTCCTTCGTCATTTCTACATCAATTAAGCAGGTAAAAGTTCTGGAGTTGATTCTAAGTTCTGTTTCTGTGAACCCACATCATGCAGTCAAAAGATCTCTCCATACAAGTGAAACAGGCAATTGTTAGGCTTCAAAAACAAAACAAATCCATCAGAGACAGGAGCAGGAACATTAGGAGTGGCCAAATCAACAGTTTGGTACACAAGTGAAACAGGCAATTGTTAGGCTTCAAAAACAAAACAAATCCATCAGAGACAGGAGCAGGAACATTAGGAGTGGCCAAATCAACAGTTTGGTACATTCTGAGAAAAAAATGCACTGGTGAGCGCAGCAACATAAAAAGGCCTGGACGTCCACGGAGGACAACAGTGGTGGATGATCAGAGGAACCTCATGGTAAAGAAAAACCCTTTAACCTTTAACAACATCCAGCCAAGTGAAGAACACTCTCCAGGAGGTAGACGTGTCACTGTCAAAGTCTACAATCAAGAGAAGACTTCACGAGAGCAAATACAGAGGGTTCACCACAAGGTGCAAACAAGGCCAGATTAGACTTTACCCCAAAAAAATAATCTAAAAAAGCCAGACCACTTCTGCAAAAGCATTCGTTGGATGGCTGAAATTAAGATCAACCTGTACCAGAATGACGGGAAGAAAAAAGTATGGAGAAGGCTTGGAACAGCTCATGATCCTAAGCACACAACATCATCTGTGAAACATGGTGGAGAGGTGTGATGGCACGAGTGTGCATGGCTTCCAGTGGCACTGGGTTACTGGTGTTTACTGATGACGTGACATAAGACAGACGCAGCCGGAAGAATTCTGAAGTGTATAGGGATATACTCTCTGCCCAGATTCAGCCAAATGCCGCAAAATTGATTGGACTGCGATTAATAGTACATAGTAGTGTCAGGGACCTAATTGTATGTATGTATGTGTATGTATGTATGTATATATGTATATATGTATA